CTTTTTGCACAAAGTACGGGTTCTATCTCAAGCACGTTCCCAGCTGGTTTCCTTCTCCTCCCCATCTCCCCGCACGAGGCCCCAGAACGCGGCCCGGCGGCAGGGCACCGCCCTGCAGCGAGACGACGACCTTTCTGTGCGCCTTGGACAGACTTTTCCGGGGCGGGCAGCGTCTTTGGCGAGGGTGAAGGCGCCGAGGCGGGCGGCGGTGCTCGGCGGTAGGGCGTAGAACTTAAGGTTCAGGGGCCCCGGGGACGGGGGCGCCAGCGTAAAGGGGGGAATGTCGTCGGCGGGCGGGGCCGGGGTGAGGTCTTGCTTGGCGGCGTCGGCGCGGGCGCGGCTGTAGAGCTGCTCGGCCTCGCGCTGGTAGGCGCGGGCGGCGGCGCGCGAGGTGAAGAGGATGAAGTAACTGTCCAGGGGGCGAGGGTGTTGCGGTCGTGGAGGTGGATGACTGCGTCTTGTCAGTTTTTGACTGCTCACACGAGACAACAAACACGGTGAGAAGTAGATGTACCCTTCTTGATGGTGGTGTTCCAGCCTTGGAGGTGCTCGCCCTTGCGACCGATTCGGTAAAAGTCGGCCTCAGTGAGATGCTTGCTGGCATTGGACAGGATGAGCATCGCCGGCATTTCGTCCTTCTCCGGGCGAGCGTTGATGCCTTCCTCGCCATGGCTCTGTGCCTCGAGCCACGCGTGCAGATCATCCTTGCCCAGGAGCTCTCGCTGAATGGGCGGCTCCTTGGCCAATATGTCGTCGCGTGGGCGTCTTGGTCGGTCGGTCCTCGGGGTCTCGTGGCCGGCACTGGCGTCTGGAAACATCTCCTTGAAGATGGACGTCTTGCCCTTCCTAGATGGACTGCCGCGCAGGGCGGCGGCATGAAGGGGGCGGTGATTCAGCCATGATCGGGACAGAGGGCGAAGCAGGCCAAGAGGAAGGCCGGGGGTTCGAGGGGGCATTCGCGCAACTGCGATGCTGCTGACGAGAGGGCGCAGCGCTCTGGTGTCAGCCCATTGCATGAGGGCAGTTTGTGGCGGCTGCGGGGGGCGGACGGCTGGATGGAAGACGTGGTTGACGCGGAGGTTGAGATGAGGGTAAGCTCGAGAGCAGCTCTGGGTAGAATCACGAAGCTGGACTTTTGCAGCGTGGAACCGAAGCGGCAGTGAGCACAGACAGCTCCATGCCGATTGGTCCCAGTGCCTCAGGTGCGGCATCGTAGTGCGTTGGCCCTCAAACCAAGGACGAGGTACCTGACCTAGGTACCTGCCTTAGGTGCCGTAGGTACCTAGGTAGGTATAGGTACCTAGGTAGGTAGACATGGGGCGGAGCATTAGGGTCCCAGACGCGCCATGGGTGCTGAGCCGTGTTGCTTCTTAGCGTTGTGACCTCGTCATTCTCCCCATGTTGAGCGCCGAATACGACTTCATAACCAACGCATCATACACTCTTTATACAAGTGTTCACCTTATAAAAGGAAAATCATATACTATGCACTCCATGACAGCGAAGCTAAGCCGATACGACCAGCTTCCATCACTACTGCTAGAGTTCCTCTACACAAACACGCACCTGCTCTCCAGTGCAGTGTCAGACAGGCGCTGTCTCGAGGCAGGTGGGGTACCACAGTGACTGCCCCAAACGGCGGCTGTGAGAGGCTGCACCAAGCCAGAATTTTTTATCGTGCACTAACCTGATTTGGTCGTCAACTCACTTCACATCATGAAGGAAACGGAGAGTGAAAGCTCGTTGGAAGTTCGCCGTTGTTCTTCCACTCAAGGCCTACGCCAAAAGCTACCGTCATCGGTGCTGGGTACATGAAGCTGTCTGTGCTGGGTCTCTCTGCTTCTCGCGGGTCCTCCTAGAGCAGCGCCTACACAACTACCTGCCCTCGGCGCACAATATCCATAGGCGCATTTTCTCCGTTCCACACCATCATGGTCACCAGCAAGGAAGTCACAGGCAAGGTCCGACCCGTTGGCACGTGGGATCAGAGTCAGGAGAAATCGAGCCTTGTCGGCGCCGCCCGTATCTGGGTCAACAAAGACACACTTATCCTTCTGACGGGAGGCGTCGAGAGCACAAAACGATGTTGGATCGAGAGGACTGCCCCGGCCGCCGCCCTCGATGACGATGCCGAAGCGTCCAGTAGTAAGCCCGTACGTCGACAGGCCGTCCTTTCATGCCTGCTCGACAAAAAGGTGCCCCCGAACGTCTTCCTCACTACCGATGCCTTTCGGGAGGCGGTCGGTCTGAAGCTCGGCGACCAGCTGTCCATCAAGCTGTGCGACGAGTCTTCTGTTCCCGCGGCCAAAAGCATCGTGTTGGAACCCCTAGATGCGGTTGCTGCCAAGGAAACACCCAACTGGGAGCACGCCGTCTGGTTTCCCCTGAAACGCGCCGTCCACGTCTTTCCCGGCATGACGTTTGACTGTACCATTGCCACGTATAAGAAGAGGTTCCGTGTGCAGAGCGTCAACGCGGAAACTGACAACATCGCCGCCTGCTCCGATGACCCCCCTACGGTGTCCTTCCGCCAGCCAGTCACCGACACTCACGTGGCACCAACAAAGCTCGTCGTCCCCGATATCCCAGGTCTGGCTGCTGAGAGCAAGAAGCTCAACGATTTCCTGCGGGGATTCAACGCCCCCTTCTTGCATCCTCGCCATCGACGCTCCTGTGGCATCGCCGTCCATGGCGGCCACGGAACCGGCAAGAGCAACCTGCTCGACGTGGTCGCCGCGACCAAATGGGGCACCGTCTTTCGCGTACAAGTCCTCGACAAATCCAGCACTGTCGAGGAAACCTTCAAGCAGGCCAAGGCGCAACGCCCCAGCATCATACTCATCGACGATCTCCACGCCCTCATCGGCAAAGACCGCGCCAACTCGAGCACCATCATCTTCAAGCTCGGCCAGCAGCTCGACGAACTGGCCGAGGAGGCCAGGACGCAGGGGGCGTTGCCCAAGGTCGCCGTCATCGCTTCCTGCAGCGACTACCTGACCGACATGCCCGCCGAGCTCCAGCGGTCGACGCGGTTCCAGCTCAACATTGCGCTTCCCATTCCCAACCTCGCCGGCCGTGAGCAGGTCCTCCACACCATGTCCGAATCCATCGCGCCCGAAGAGCGATCCGAGTTGGTCGCCTATCTCGCGAAACATACCCACGCCTTCAACCCCGCAGACCTTGACCGGCTCATGTCGACGGCCATCCATCTTCTCGAGACGCGCATCGACCCGGACCAGCAAGGCCACGCGCTGCCGTCGACACCGTACGTCGCCCGGGCCGACCTCGACGCCGCCCTGCGCTGCACGCGCCCGACGGCCATGCACGACATCAACCTCAAGCCGCCGACGATCCAATGGAGCGACATTGGCGGCCAGGACGGCCTCAAAAAGGCTCTCAAGCGCATGATCGCCCTCTCGACGACCACCGACCCCCGCGTCCGCGCCCTCATCATCAACCCGCCCAAGGGCCTCCTCCTCTACGGGCCCCCCGGCTGCTCCAAGACCATGTCCGCCCAGGCCCTGGCCACCGAGTCCAACTTTAACTTCTTCGCCGTCAAGGGCGCCGAGCTGCTCAACATGTACGTCGGCGAGTCGGAGCGCGCCGTGCGCGAGCTCTTCCAGCGCGCGCGCGAGACCGCACCCAGCATCATCTTTTTTGACGAGATTGACTCCATCGGCGGCCAGCGCGCCGGCGGGAAGCGGAGTTGGCGTCGGTGGCGGCGCCGCGCAGCCCTTCGCAGGGCACCGTCAACATGCTGACGACGCTGATTGACTGAAAGGGACGGTTTCTAGTCGCTGCCGGGCGTGTTCTTCCCTAGCAGCCACAAACCGGCCCCGAGGCTTTTCTATTTCGCCGCTGCCGTCGCCCCGGCCGGTAGAACCCCCTGCGTCACCGTCGGGATGCTTAAAAGAGGGTTGGGGGCCGAAGCCCTTTTGGCGAATTTCTTTGGTCAGGGGGGGGGGCCGTAGCG